AAACTGGTGATCTGCCCTGTAGACCTTCACTCAATTCATAGTAAACTGGTGATCTGCCCTGTAGACCTTCACTCAATTCATAGTAAAAACATTAAGGAAAAAAAAAAAGGTAGTCAGTGGCCATCTAAATTGCTACTCTCTTCCTCTTCCTGTCTGGAACAAAGAAGATTGAAGAAAATCAAAGATTCAGGGAACCAGTTAGTCCAAAGGACTAATGAACTACAAGCACCCCGGCCTCCGTGACCCTGAGACCAGATGGTACCCAGCTACCACTGCTGACCACGCTGATTGGGAGCATAGAAGGTCCTAGAGAGACTGGAAGAAAAATGTAGATAATAATTCAGAATAAAAAAAAAAAAAACAGACTCACTGATCAGATAGAGACTGGAGGAATGAACCCCCAAGACGGGTGACATTTAGACACACTTCAAGTCTGGAACTGAACCCACCCCCGGGATCACCTTGCAGCCAAACAATAGGCAGGCTTATAAAGTGAACAGTAACACCTGTGAGGAACCTGCGCCTCAGAAAGTCAACCAACCATACGTGACCAAAAGGGTACCATTTGCTCCAAAGCAAAGCTCAAAAAGCAGAAAGAGGCAGGAGAGAAGAACCACTAGAAACAGGGAACTGGGGAGGAAGTGAGAAGGGCGTGCTACACTGAGGGTAGTACAACTCGTGATGCTAAACAAAGTGTTTAAAAGATGTTGAAAGACAACTAATTTGCTCTGTAAACTTTCACCCAAGCCACAATTAAAAAAAAACAAAAACAGGTTAGAGCAAAAAACGAAGGTTTTCGAGGTTAAAGTGAAGGCTTTCGAATGTGTGGATCATGACAAGCTATGGACAAAATTGAGAAGTATGAGTATTCCAGAACACTTAATTGTACTTCTGAGAAATCTGTACCTAGACCAAGAAGCAGTTGTTCAAACAGAGCATGGGAACACTGAATGTTTTAAAATTGGGAAAGGTGTGCGACAAGATTCTGTTCTTTCACCATACTTATTCAACCTGTATGCTGAGCAAATAATACGAGAAGCTGGGTTCTATGAAGAAAAACATGGTGTCAGGATTGGAGAAAGACTCGTTAACAACCTGCGATATGCAGATGATACAACCTTTCTTGCTGAAAGTGAAGAGGACTTGAAACATTTACTTATGAAGATCAAAGAGCACAGCCTTCGATATGGATTTCATCTCAATGTCAAGAAAACAAAAATACTTACCACTGGAACAATAAACAACATTCTTATCAATGGAGAAAAGATTGAAGTTGTCAAGGACTTTATTCTTCTTCAATCAACTATCAACACTTGTGGAAGCAGCAGTCAAGAGATCAGACGACGTATTGCATTGGGCAAATCTGCTGCACAGGAACTTTTTTTAAAGTATTGAAGAGCAGAGATGTCAGCTTGAGGACTAAGGTGCGCCTGACCCAAGCCATGGTATTTTCAATAACCTCATATGGATGCAAAAGCTGGACAGTGAATACGGAAGATCATAGAAGAATTGATGCCCTTGAGTTGTGGTGTTGGAGGAGAATACTGAAAGTGCCATGGACTGCCAAAAGAACCAATAGATCTGTTTTGGAAGAAGTGCGACCGGAGTGCTCCTTGGAGGCCAAGATGGCTAAGCTTCGTCTCTCATACTTTGGACATATTGTCAGGAGGGAACAGTCGCTGGAGAAGGATGTCATGCTGGGTAAGATGGAGGGTCAGAGAAAAAGAGGAAGACCCCCAACGAGATGGATCGGCCAGGTGGCATCATTGATGGACTCAAGTGTAGCAGCGGTAGTGAGCTCAGGATTGGACATTGTTTCGTTCTGCTGTGCATGGGGTCGCTATGAGTTGGTTCCGACTCGATGGCACCTGACAACAACAACAGAGATACCATACTGAGCTTTCCATATGACCCCACCTTTTATGGAAGATCAGTGGGTAGCATTTGGTGTGAACCCCACACACGTTTCTGGGATTGAGTAGTTTTTCTCCGCCCTCAGTAGTGCACTAGTGTGCACACCTCTGTGGGTATTGAAACCAACCACCTGGGGAATTTGAAGGAGCTGTAGGAACCAGATTCTGTGTCAACTCAAGCTTCTCTGGGGCCTCTCAGCTCTCCAGCTGTTTTTCTTTTGCACCACTGATGAGGGACAGCCGCTCTCTACCTTTGCCACCTCAGAAGTCATGTGGAGGGGCCCTCCCAGAGTGTGGACATCTGGGCCACAGTCTCAACCAACAAGTCAAGCTCTCTGGAGGTGGGACTAAGGCTGAGTTGTTTGTAAACTTCCAGGTGATTCCAGAAGTTTGTAAACTTCCAGGTGATTCCGGTGGAGATGCCAGACGCATGGCTATCTGTCCCAGTGATTCCCAGGCACCTGCGTTCATGATCACTCATGGAGCGCTCAGAAGTCCTGAGTTCTGTTCAGATCGCTGGCTCAGGGTTCTCTCCATTGGCCCCATGACAGCCTTGGCACTGAGAGTTGGAGGGAGCGTGCTTTCTTTCTTCAGGCCTCATGTCTGTCTCTTGGTCCCTCAGGTGTATGAGCTTCCCTTCATAGTGGCTCTGGACCACAGGAAAGAATCGGTCGTGGTGGCTGTGAGAGGAACCATGTCTCTCCAGGTACTGGGGCTGGGGTGGTACAACCGGGAGGTGGGGGTGACATACCTGTGGCTAGACAACCAGCCTGCTGGTGATGAAACCGGGGGAGTTGTGGCAGAACTGAGAATAGCTGTTCCTAAGGAACAGTATCAGACAAAAGAAGAATCAGGAACATGTCGGGGAAATGAAACAGGGAAGTGAATCCAGGGTTGTGAAATACCCCCTTTGTAAAAAGGCGGAGAAAATTGAATGGGGAAATGCCTGAAATGTGGGTGGTGGCAGCTTTGACTCCCAGCAGGTGATTTCCTAGAGAGACACCTGCTTGCCTCCTCTCCCACCTGACTTCCAGTTCCCGACCTGGGTGACCCTACCTGCCAGTTTTTTGGCTACAAACCCCCAAAGCCAGATGAGACAGGAATCCAGTATTGCCACCCAGTCACTCAACTGTCCTCCCGGATCCACCCAGGTCCTGCCCGGGCCTGCAGCAGCCCCACAAACCTGCTGGAAGACCTCCCTCTTGACCCTGCAGATCCCCCCAAGTCCAGCGAGAACCACCATTTATTTTTTCTTTCTTTTTTTAGTAAGTGTTTTATTGTGAATTTTGTGATAGTTTACATGGGAGAACCTTGATTTTACGTTCATTCTATCGTATATTGTTTCATTGCCATAGTTACAATCCCGTTTATGCATAATGAACCAACCAAAGGGTATATACCCTGCACGCCTGCCCACCTCCCCCCACCCCACCCCACCCCCTGGTCCTCAGCACACAGTCGCTCTCCCTTTCTGGATCTCAGCCACTCCCTCTCTCCATGTCGTCATCTCTGCCTCCATTCAGGCATCACTGCTTCTCTGGGTAGGGTCCCGCTCTCCGCTCTTCTCCATTGATGGTCCCCAGGCCCTCCGCTCCTAGACTGAAAAGTTAATCCCTCCCCTCCTTGCTATAAAATGTTCACCATTACACTTCCAACCCTCACAATCAGCCCTGATAACAATTATTCACTATTGCATCACAAGAGACCCATCTGCATATCATTTCATCAGCCCCATCTAGACAGATTGGATACTACTCACTGGAGACTTTATCTTCCTCCAGGCCCTCTGGATCTAGGTTCCCTCCTGCAAACTTGTAAGCCAGACACTTTTTGCCTTTGTGGCCCTGCCCCCCCATTTTGGCTTGCCAATGTTCAAGTTGCCCCTCCCTGTCTACTCTGTGTGTGGATGGGGTGGGAATGAGTCTTGCAGTAGGGATTTGTTTCCTCTTTTGAGCTACTGCATCCATAGATGTAGGTCAAGTTCATCAATTTGTATCAGATTATGCTTTTTCTTTTTTTCTCTTCTTTCTTCTTCGGGTTGAGCTCTGATTATCTAGTCCTTGAAGCCAGGTCAAGTGGGTATTATCTGCAAGTGTGAGTGTTCTTGCTATTATCCCTCTGAGAACCACCATTTATTGATCTCCAGACCCAGCGATTCCTTCCTCATGTTGCTTCCAGAGACACTTCTGACCCTTTGAAGCCGCTTCCCCTCCATTTCTGTGCTGCACTTCTGGGTTTCTTCTTGTTCATTCCTCAGTCTTGTTCCCTGGTTCTGGTTTCTCTGCTGACCCAGATATTCAAGGAGAGCCCAGTCCTGGTGTCCTCACCCCTCTGCTCTCTTGCTCTCTGGCCAGGTCTGTGAGGCAGCCTCACTTGTCCTAGGGCTACAGCTCTGTTTCCAGAGGTCCCCGGGTTTCCCAGAGGCACCACTGGAACCCCGGTCTGCTCTTCCGGTTATAATCCCACCCATGTGCCTCAGTTGCCCGTGTTACAGAGTCAGTGAGAAAGAGGAAGACCTCCAAAGAGATGGATTGATATGGTGACTGCAGTAATGGGTGGCTCAGCTGACAGTTGAGAGGGTGACGCCGGCTGGGCAGTGTTTCATTCTGCCATGTACAGGTCACTGTGTGAGCCAACTCGACAACACCTGACCACCACAAAGGGTCCCTCTTTTGCCTGTGTATGTCGTCTTGGGTTCTCCTCATGGACTGCCCCATCTCTGCCCCTGCACAGGTCTCCCCTCCCCAGTCTGTCCTTTACACCATCCACAACACTGTTGCTGAAACACGGCTCAGACCGCCAGCAACTTCCCACCACTCTTAGTCTAGAGTTGCAGCCTTGTTGGTGCTCTCTGTCCACCTGCTGCCACCCCCAGCTCCCTCTCTGCCCTCCAGGGCTCACCTTCTTCCTCTAGCCTCATTGAGTCCCACTCGCTGCTGACTATGAGCTCCTTGAGGACAGGCACAAGCTCGTTCAGGGCCCTGCACAGACTTCGGGCTCAGGAGCACTCGGTGTGTACAGCTAGGAAAACTGAAGTTCAGGTCTGGTCCAGAGCCGGCCATGCTCCGAGGGCCTCAGGAGGCTTGGCTGCTGGCCACTTCCAAGTCCAAGTACCACAGGACGACTCACCCCCTATTTACTGATCCTTGGGGTGGGCTGCTGTGGGGCAGGGACTACCCGTCCACTCAGATGGCGTACAGCCACCTGAGTGGTGCCCTCTTCTCTCTATCCGTTCTCTCATAGGACGTCCTGACTGATCTGTCTGCTGAGAGTGAGACCCTCGACTTAGGGTGTGAAGTTCAAGACTCTGTGGCACACAAGGTAGAGGCCCCAGGGTTATGGTCTGGAATGTTCTGTGAAGGTGAAACTCAAGAGGGGCCAGAAGTTTCCAACTCTGAATCTCCCAGTAATGCCACCCAGGGCAGACACCCTACATCAACTATGGCCCTGTGCGGGCTTTCATTCTCACCATAAGCCCCACTCAGTGTCTTGTTTGTTGGATTTTTTTTTCTTTTTAAGAGAAAGAAACTGAAGTTCCAAGAGATTCACGTAGGACATAAATGTCAGACTGGACATCTGAACGCATGCTTTTCTTTCCTCTTAATTAACATTGTGCATTGTCCAGGGGAAGATTTGGTACCATGCCCAGCTGTCTACAGTGAGCACAATGTGCAGTACCCCGGGCTCAGGCCACCAATTCTCTGCCCCACACCCAGGGGCACGGGCGGACTATGGGCGGGGGTCCTGCCGCACCTCAGGTGGAACAGAAAGCTGGAGCCTATCTTTACCCACTTAGGGTTCTGGTATGTTTTTAAAACCCAAACGGGCTACTCTGTAGTCTTTTTTTTTTTTTAAATAAAAAGCAGGTCAGCTGCAGGTGATGGGACTCAGGCCCTGCCTTTTCCAGAACTATCCATTTGTTCTGCTCCCAGGTAGACACTTGAGCGCCTTAGGAAAGTAGTCTTTTTTCCCCTCTAGCCCTGAGCTATCTTTTTGTGCCTTGAGTCACAGAAGAGGCTCTAGTTGAACTATTGTTGGGCGCATATAAGGAGTCCTGGTGATACAGTGGTTAAGTGCTTGACTGCTAATGGAAAGTCGGGCGGTTACAAAGTGCGGTGCACAGAGGCGTGGCAGTCTGCCCTCATTCAGGATGACAGCCTTGCTCTGCCCTGCAGTGTTGCTGTGAGTCGGAATTGACTTGATGACAGTGGATTTGGGGATTTTCTGGTTCATGTTGATGTCACTGGACATTTGCTCAGAATGTCACAGGCACGCAACACCCAGCCGGCCACAGGGTCTTCAGTATCCAGTAGGTGTGACATTGACTGCAATTCTATTCTCAAAGGTGTTTGCCGCAGATAAAGACTTCCAGGCCTGTGAGCGGAGGCATTTCTGGCCTGACTCTGGTCTTCGGCCACTGAGCGACTGTTGCCGGCCACGCCACCCCACCCCACCGCCCACTCCCATACACTGTGTAGCCTTCCTGAGGCCAAGGACATGGCATGTGCTCCACTTTTGGCCTCTTCTGTTAACGTCTGCATGTCAGGAGGTACACCAGCAGTGACTGTGGCCTGTGTTGTGTTCGGCACAGACATGCCGCATCATGGGTGCCGGCGTATCACATAGTCAGAGGGGAGCAGGAAGGAAGTGGTGGCTTGTGTAGAATGCTGTCAGAATCGCCAGCTTCAGCATCCTACCTGCAGAAAGAGAGATACGGAACCATAGGATAGCCAGAAGCTGCCTCCTGTCTGGCAGACTCTCTTCCGCCTTTTCCCGTTAGAACAGACACTGCCAGGGCTGAGGCCAGATCTTTCTTACAGGCTCCCCTAGTTTCTCAAATGAAGCCAAAATCTGGCCTCCCAAGAACGCATGTTCAATGAATGTAGGTATGCTTTGGCAGGAACAGGATGCTGCATGATTGATCTTGAATGTCTATGTTTCAACGTCACTTCAGAAGATCAGGCATGAATCATCCAAATCCGGTCAAGCGTGGAGACTTGGCTGATAGAAAGTATGATATAAACACACAGCAAAACTCATGCAGCCACAGCAAAAGGTGTGCCTGCTGATCTGCGGTCATTTATTTCAGTATTTACAGCGCACCTACTTCAGGCCACATTCTGTCCAAGGTGCCAGGGATACAATAGGTACAGACCAACGTGCAGACTAATACAGGGATGAGACCAATCCCATGACACTGGTAGTCAGGAATCACATAAGTACATAGCGGCATGCTTGTATGGCTCTTGGCTTTCTTGAGCTCTGTAGCTCACTGGAGTTTTTACAGACTGCATTGAGCAAGTCTCTTGGCACCAGTTTTCCAGCAGCATGTGCTCACTTTGTGTCTGGGTCCCATTTTGGTCAAGTTCACGAGATTTCCAACTTATTTATCATGCTGTTGCATACTTCACGGAATCCTGATGTGGCGCTGCGGGTTAATGTGCAGGCTGCAAAGTCAGTTTGAACTGCTACGTCAGTGGTTCATGCTCACCATCTGCTCCTCGGATTCCCTACACAGGGTTGCTGTGGGTCGGAACCAACTCTACAGCACTTAAAAACAACAAGAATTGCACACTCCATGGAATTCTGGTATGGCACTGTGGGATAAGTACTTGACTTCAAGGGTGGTTTGATCCACAAGGTCAGCACTTCAGACTCACCATCCACTCCTCAGAAACTCTATACAGACAGGGTCGATGTGAGTCAGAAACAACTCAGTGTCACTTAACAGCAACAACAACAATTGCACACTCCATAGACTGCCCACCCCAAAAAGCAGACCCACTGCCATCAAGTCAGTTCAGACTCAGCATTGAACTGCTCCTCAGGTTGCCAAGACTTAAGTCTTTACAGCAGCAGACAGCTCAGAGGGACTGCCAACCTGGCGGTACCCTAGTGCTTAGCCCACAGCACCACCAGGACTCCTTAATAAAGTACTGAATAGGGCACATGTGGTTCTCATGGCACCAAGAAACTAAACTCATGTAACCTGAGTATCTGGGTATCTCTGAGGTCTACCTGTGTACATAGAACCCTGTCTGCTGAGTCAGGGTTGAACCTGCCTTGTCTGGGAACTAATGGCCACCTTCTCTGTCCACGAGTTTAGGGCATTTCTCAAGCCGCCAGATACATTTACCGACGACTCATCCACGATGGGATCTTGAGCCAGGCATTCAGCATTGCTCCTGTGAGACTTCATTTATGTGCATTATATTTAGTTGTGTTTCCTCTGCCATCGATGGTGTCTTACTTGCCTTCTCTCCCTCTGCTCTGTTGTGTAGGAGTACCGGCTGGTCCTGGTGGGGCACAGTCTGGGGGCCGGCGCCTCAGCCCTGCTGGCTTTCATGCTCAGGGACGCCTACCCGCACGTCAGGTGCTACGCCTTTTCTCCACCCAGGGGGCTGCTGAGGTAACTCTTGGTTTTCACACATGGAACAAGGTGTCATTTGTAGGCCGTCTGGTCAGGACTCGGCTTGATCTGTCTCTTCTCTCGCATCTCCTGTCTGGTCAGCAGTAGGAGAAAGCATGACTGGCCTTGCCTGCCATCTCTCTGACCACAGCTTTGATTTCCCTTAAATGATGGGAGTCTAGGATTCCTTGTTCTTTATGCATTTAAAAGGACTTTTTTTTCTTTTCTGATTCAGCATACTGAATCCTGGGTGGTAGATAGCCTTTTGTTCTGATGATGAAAGTAATTTGTATGCATCGTAGACAATTGAGAAAGTGTAGACAAGTGTTGTGGATGTGACTGGACTGGGAACCACAAGGGTTTTCCTCGGCCACTCCTCAGAAACCCTAGATTGAACCAACTGCATGTCACTTAGCATCCACAGACACGTGTAGAGATCCAAGGTCTTCCTATTGGACGTGATGGGTGTTGGTCCTAGTTCTGCTTTCATGGGTTCTAGATGTCCCCCCAAGGAGCTTTGGTAGCGTGGTGCTTACAAGTCAAGCTGCTAGCCTCAAGGTCTGCAGTTCAAAATTGCCAGTTGTTCCATGAGAGAAAGATGAGACTTTCTGCTCCCGTAAGGATTTACAGTCTTGGAAACCCCTCTCCAGGTTGCTTTGAGTCAGAACAGACTCCATGGCTCACCACCACCAGATCTCCTCCTTCATGTTTCCATCTTGTTGAAGAAGCTGGGTTGTTTATTCTAGAGAACAGGCTGTGTTCTGGACTTTGTGGTGTCATGTAACGTGTTTCTCTGTCCCCCTGGTTCTATATTTCTAGAACATGGTAACTCTGGCTAAGGTTTATCAGACTCAGGATGGAGTTTTTGGCCACCGTGATGTGGCGCTGTAGAATAAGCACTGGACTGCAAGGTCAGTTTGAATCACAAGGTTGGCATTTCGAATCCCACTAGCAGCTCCTCTGAAACTATATAGGTCACTATGATCGAAATTGACTTGACAGCACTTAGCGGAACAGCAATGGGTCATGCGTGCTGAGTCATTCTTCCTACATCTCATCAGGGGGCACGTACTGCCTCTTTGACTCTCTGATGTGCATAGCTGTTGTTACTTACTGTAGAGTTGGTTCTGACTTACAGCAACTCTGCGTAGGGTTTCCGAGGCTGTAAATCTTAACGGGAGAAGAAAGCCTCATCTTTCTCCCATGGAACGGCTAGTAGTTTTGAACTGATCGTGAGATAGCAGCCCAATTTGTAATCACTATGTAGCGTAGTGGTTACGAATCGGGCTGTGAGCCCCAAGGTCAGCAGTTTGAAACTACCAGCTGTTCCGCGGGAGAAAGATGAGGCGTTCTGCTCCTGTAAAGATTTACAGCCTCGGAAACCCTGTTACAGGGTTGCTATGAGTCGGAACTGACTGCACGGCACACAACAACAACAATGCTACCAGAGCTCCTTGATGTACACAGCTAGCGATCATTAATTACTTTGTTTTATTGTTGTCATTAAGTGCCATTGAGTCGGCTCTGACTCATAGAGACCCTGTATGTGGTTTCTCAGGAGCGACTGATGAATCTGAACCATTGATCTTGTGGTTCAAACCAACCTTGTGGTCCAGTGCATTATCTTACAGCACCATACCAGAACACTTTGTTTTATTGTTAATTGCTGTCGTGTTGATTCTAACCCATAGTGACCCTGTGTAGGGCTTCTGAGGAGCCCGTTGGTGGGTTTGAACTGCCAACCTTAAGGTTCAAACTGACCTTAGGATCCAGCACATGATCCTGCAGTGTCACCCCAGGACTCCATGGTGGTAATCTCTTCCTACCCTTCCTTTACACTTATCAATGGAAGAACTTCTAAAAATGGCCTTTTCTTCCTCAATCAGAAGTCCCCCTGAGGCACATTCACCCAGAAAGAGCAGCAGAGATACACAAGTGCTTGAATCTTTCCCTTTATTTAGCCGTATTCAAAATACTGAAGTAGTATTCTAGCCGTCTATGAATCGGAACCAACTTTATGGCACTTAACAACAACAACAGGTGCCCCACAGTCTCTAAATACCACTTCCCAATCAAATGAACCAGTACTCCTTGGAGAAGTAATTGATTTTTTTTTGTAAACTATCATTATAAACTCATGACTTTAAACATAAGGAAACCCAGTGCCACCCTAGGTTAAGTATTGGGCCACTAACCAAAAGGTCAGTGGTTCAGACTCAGCAGTCCTGCCTTAGGCGAAAGATGAAGCCATCAGCTCCCATCAAGATTTCCAGTCTTGGAACCCTATGGAGCGGTTCTTCTATGTCCTGTAGGATTGCTAGCGGTAGGAAAACTCAGCAGCAGTAGGTTTGAGTTTAAACACACAAATGTATTCCAGTCCATTGCAGCTCTTCTTTGATATTCAAATGGTCCCATCTTTGGCCCACGAGCACTTGAGCAAAGTGCTTCTCCATCCTTTGGCTACACTCCAGCTGTCTGATGGTTCCCTGGCTTTCTGGTACAAGAGTTTCCTGTTCCATATCTGAAATCAATTACTTCTCCAAGGAGTACTGGTTCATTTGATTGGGAAGTGATATTTAGAGACTGTGGGGCACTGTTGTTGTTGTTAAGTGCCATAAAGTTGGTTCCGACTCATAGCAATTCCGTATAGGGTTTCTGAGGAGCAGCTCATGAGTCTGAACCACCAGCTTTGCATTTCAAACTGACCTTATGGTCAAGTGCTTATCCTACAGTACTGCACCAGGACTAGTAGAGAGTTTTGTTGTTGTGTGCTGTTGAGCTGGTTCTGACCCATAGCAACCCTGTATGGGGTTTCCAAGAAGCAGCTAGTGGGTTTGAACCACTGACCTTGCAGTTAGCAGTTCAATACTTATCCTACAGCACCATACCAGGGTTAGTCTTAGAAAACACCAGGGAATACTTGGAATGCTATTTTTTCATTCCAAAGAGAAATTGAATCCTTGATTAATATTGATACTTCCAATTTAAACTAAAGACCAGAGTTTTTACTTAGTTAATTGTATACTAGTACTTACTGAAATTCTTTTTTTACCTTATGTTTGTTTTGTTTTGTTTCTTTACCCAGGCATCCTGGTGTCTGTCAACATTAACCTGATTGTTTGTTCACATTCTGTAAACAATCATTGCTTCAGAATACTACTGGCAACATTACATCAACTGTTGTTGTTGGTATCATCCTGTTACTTCTGACTCAAGGCGATCCCGTGTGTAGGGTATTGCTGCTCCAGAGTTAGCAAGGCTGTGGCCCTTCAGAAACACATCGCCAAGCCCATCTTCTGTGACACTTCTGCTTGGGTTTGAACTGCCAAGCTTTGAACTAGTAGTGGAGTGCTAACAGTTTGAGATTCCTTTGTAACTTGTTTTGTTCCTAGAAGGGTTGTACAGTTAAATTACTGTTGTTTTAAAGTCACTTAAAATAATTATTTCATGGGTTTTAGAAAGTACATCGATTGTTGTTTTGATTGAACTTTTATTATCATGTAAAACACCCATATGGTTCCAAAGACACTTCCACACAGGTCCACTGAGAGAAAGCTCTCGTGTCAGTTCCTGTTCCTCAGCCATCTCTAATAGTTTTGTTTTTAACTTTTTTTTTTTAAATATAATTTTTTGTCCACATATGAGTAAATGTGTGTACCACCTTTCCACGTATAGCACACACGCATAGAACGCACACAGCGCTCATAGGAAACTAACGCACAAGAGGGTAGCTTGGTTTGCAGAAACCTCATGGGGCGAGCATTATGTACATAAAGCTGTGGCATGTATTTGTATTCCTCTCCTTAGATGAAAGCATTCGGAGGCTGCATGTCACTTACAGCGTGTCTTGGTGATGACATTGTTGTTACAGCTGTGAAGGACACCTCACTGGGCTGAGCCCGGGCTGGCCTATCTTTCTCTAAGGAGGGACACTGGAGCCTTAGCAGTGCCTGCTGTCACAGCTAGCATTGGTGCCACGAAGAGCCTTCAGCATGGCCTTTTCATGTCATTTCTGAAAGGCAGTTTGCTGGGTCAAGAATATGTGCAAGGCTCACCTCCCCTGAATGTGTGTTGTGGCTGAAGTCTCTCTGCATCCTTTCCCCTCACCTTTGGAGGGCAGAGAACAGGGAGGATGTGTATGGAGAACAGCCTGTCACTCACTGGCAGGTCCTTAGTGTCCCTAAGGCTCTCTGGGGCCGTGTCATCCTCACTTAGCTAACTCTTCTCCTGTCTTTCTGGAATTGCAGCAAATCCCTCTATGAGCACTCTCAGAGCTTCATTGTGTCACTCGTCCTTGGCAAGGATGTGATCCCCAGGTGCGTCTGCTGGGTGACAGTTGGCGTGGTGGGCAGTTGACACCGGGTCCCTCTGGAAGGACTGAGCCTCAGTCTCACGGGACTCTTTCTAACCAGGTTAAGTGTGACCAACTTGGAAGATCTGAAGAGGAGAATCCTGCGCGTGATTGCGCACTGTAACAAGCCCAAGGTAACTCGGGGTTCTGTGAAGCGGGGCTGCAGCCTCCGGGAGACAGGAAAGTGGAAAGGGCAGTGTATGCGGCTGCTTCATGTCCTCCTTCCCCACTCTGTAGTTTCCTCTCGTGTTCTGCAGCTGACACTGAAAAAGGGATGTGGTTACACCAAGTATGTGAAATGCTCCAATTCAGTTTGCTTCCTGCCAGACTTCTCTGTCTCCTCTCCTATCGGGCACTATTCTGATGCCCTTGGTTATTAAAACCCCAAAGCACAGAAAACAAGGCTGCCTGCATACAGACTTAAGAGGTTCTAGTGTATCCATGTATATCCATAAAGAGCCCTGGTGGAGCGCTAGGATAAACACTGGGCTCCTAACCACCAGTTCAAATCCAGCAGCTACTCTGTGGGAAAAAGGTGAGCTGTTCTGATCCCATCAAAATTTCACAACTTTGGAAACTTACTTGGGTTAACTATGATTCGGTATCAACTTGATAGCAGGGTGGGGTTTTTTTTGTTTTTTTGTTTTTGTTTTGGCATATCCATTGGAGCTCTGGTGGCACAGTGTGTTAAGAATTGGAATGCCTTACCCAAAGGTCAGTGGTTCAAACCCACCAGCTCCATAAAGAGTTCCAGCCTCAGAAATCCTACAGAGCAGCCATTGAAAGTCCTCTGGGACAGTTCTCTGATGGGGGAGAGGCGGGTCAGAGTGGACATAGCTGCCAGGATTACAAGCGGGATGGCTTTGGGACCCAGCAGATCCCGAAGTCTGCGCTCCTTCAGCTTCACCCTCAAGCCACTGGGACTCAAGGGTGTCACCTCAGGGTGTGTTGGTGACAGAGCCTTTCACAGTAACAGCCTTTTGCCTCTCTGGGTTCTCCCCTCAGTACAAGATCTTGCTGCATGGGTGCTGGTATGAGCTATTTGGAGGGGACCCTGATAACTTTCCGACTGAGCTGGATGGTGGCCAGCAGGCGGACCTGTCACAGCCACTACTGGGCGAGCAAAGCTTGCTGACACACTGGTCCCCAGCCTACAGCTGCTCTGACGACTCTCCGTTGCACTCCCCACCCAAGTACCCACCCCTGTACCCTCCTGGCAGAATCATCCACCTGCAGGAAGAGGGCCCTTCAGGCAGGTGAGTGCTGATTACTGATGCTGGCTGTGGGCTGGAAGGATGTGCGTGTGCTGGGGGTCCATCTACTCTGTACCAAACCAGGACACATTCGGGAAGTGACCTACCCCTTCTGGTCTTGCAGGTTTTGCTACTGCTCTTCCACTCAGTATAGTGCCCGCTGGTCGCATGAATCCGAATTCAGCAGGATTCTCATAGGCCCCAAGATGCTGACCGACCACATGCCAGACATCCTGATGCGAGCCCTGGACCGTGTAGTCTCGGACAGAGCGGCCTGTGTGTCCTGCCCAGCTCAAGGAACTCCCCATGTGGACATAGTGTAGTATGGACAGCTGCTGTAGGAATGTGGCCTGGCCTGGCTTCTGTTCTGCACTGATGGAGGATCGGGATTCCTGTGTGCCTGCACAATGGCTTTTCACCACTAAATCCAGCTGTCTCTTAAATGGCTGGGAGTCTAGCGGACTCCTCAGAGCAGAGCATGAGGGGTGGGACAACCAGACATGCAGAAAGCCTTGGAAACTCCTCATTTGTAACTGGTCTCAACCCTGAGGATGAGAAGCCAACCAATGCAGTCGGCCTCAAGTGTGTGTTTTCCTGGCCACACACGAAATGACTCGGTTGTATAAAGCCAGCCAGATTTCCATGGGCCCCAAGCTCTGGGAACCCAGTCCTGGTTCCCACACCTGCCTGTTTCGTTCTGTGAAGAGTGGATGTGCTTCCATTTTTCGTGTAACATTCTGGCTCTGGACTCAGAGGGAGTCCAACCAATAAAGTCCTTAGATACGTCTTCTGTGTCTGCCTATACAGCCATGTGCTTTTCTCTGGATGATTCTAGAAAGTTCATGGACTGGGCAGTTTTAAGAGCAGTCAGCTGTATTGGAGGTGTTTTTGATCTGTGTTCCGTACACAAAGTCGAAAGTTGTCCTGGAGTTCTGAGTGCAGATTGTACAAGCATCTCATTTAACTCCCAAGATGACAGTAAAGGGATTGCTTTTATAAGCATAAGCCTACAGTACGGAAAAGGAGACAGTATCAGTTCCAGAAGCTGAAATCAGATGGCCAGAAGGGAAGCGAATCCTACACAGTAAAGAAAGCCAAGAACTAACCCAACTAACAGACCCTGTGGCCCGAGGCAGACAAGCCACTAGCATGCAGATGCACTGGGAGTGACCACTCTGTGACCCTTCATTTGGGGTCCCAGCACTGTGGAGGTCAGAGGGATGGCATCCTAGACAGATTCTTGCCCACCTTTCAAGGAGACAACTCCTACCCCTAGGAGTCTAGCTTCCAGAGCCACCTGCCTTTGGGCCCCTCCAGCCAGTTCACCTCAGCTCCCAGATGAGGTTTCAAAACCTTCATGGGAAAATGGAATGAAATTTTCCCATGGGCTTTTTGAAGCCTCCTTGTATTTTTGTAACGTATATTTGAAAGTCTACACTAGTCGTAGTGTCCAGTGACTCCAAGTTTCTTCTCTAAACAATCCCTGGTGCTCGGGTGGGGCTGCGTTCGTGTAACCCCCATATGCCAGTTCCAGTCCTCTGTACCCTGGAGTAGGAGCCAAACAGAGACGCTCCCTACTATCCCCACTGGGCTTCATCAAAAAACAAAGAAATCCCAGGATAGGGCTGAAAAGATTCCAAGTAAAAAGGCACTTGATATCCTCCAGCGACTGGTCCCTCGTGACGTATGTCCGAAGCATGAGACACGAAGTTTGGCCATCTTGGCCTCTAAGGAGCACTCTGGCTGCACTTCTTCCAACATAGGTCTGTTGGTTTTTTTGGCAGCCCATGGCACTTTAAACATTCTCCTCCAACACCGTAACAGAAAAGGATCAATTCTTCTACGGTCATCCTTATTCACTGTCCAGCTTTTGCATGTATGAGGTTATTGAAAATACCATAGCTTGGATCAGGCACACCTTAGGCCTCAAGCTGACATCTTTGCTCTTCAACACTTTAAAAAGGTCTTGTGCAGCAGATTTGCCTAATATAATATATACATTGTTTGATTTCTTGACTGCTGTTTCCATGAGTGTTGATGGTTGATCCAAGAAAAATGGACACGAGCGGAAGAGAGAATTCCCTGCAACTGATAGAGAAAACGGCACATCGCAACACAAGGGAAACAAGAAGGGGAGACTGGAGAAATGCCTTCAAACATTTCAAGTTGTTAATAACCTATGTTTTTAATACTAGCCCCATGTTATCAAGGTAGAAGCAGTTTATCTTCAAAGACACAAGAGCTGGAGTCCATACTTCTTAAAACACACCCTTTGTCAGGAGGCTCTGACAGAGACTAATCCAGACAAGGAAATTAAATAGGTAATCAGGCGTGAGCAAGAGTTCTGTTACTTAGCGACTGTTATGAGCAGCTTTTGTAACAAGGATGCAGACACCAAATACAGGGATGGGAAAGAGTTGGAGAGGGGCACACAGATGGTAATAGCTGACAGTAACTGGAAAAACTCAACCAGCAACACAAGCATTCACTGAGACCTGTGGAGGTAAATATCCAAAATGTTTACTAGTTACTTCTGGAGGGAATGAAGGGCGGACTGCATGTTTATCTGTGATAAATACAAGATTAAAAAACACAGTAGTCTTTGAAAAGTGAGGCGGCTAATCCTGAATTGGATTGTTGAATGTTCTAGAGTCCAATTCCAGGCCCAGAAGGGATCTTCAGGTCAGTCTCCCAGTTTGTGTCCAGCCACACACCCATACACAACCCCCCCTAACTGCTGTCTCCATGTGATTAGCTCACTCACACCCTTCCAGTGTTTAACCACTGACTAATCTATCTTCTCCCCTTGAAGAGAAGTTCCTCTAACCCAAGGCAGAAAGTGAGGCCAGTGATACCCCCACACACTCCACATACCCCGAAGACACTTATAAACTCAAAAAGATGACCAGTCTATAAGATTCAAGGATTTATTAAGTCATACATGCAAAACTTAGTGCTAATTGCATTAGCAAAAGATCAATGTAAAAACACTCCACAATTCCGCAACTGTCAATTTAAAAAACTTTTGTTCTAGTGGTTGAAAGGTCCAACATTATATTCTTGCCAGTGTGTAAGGTGTGCAGGACACGGTTAGCACTGAGTTTACAGAACCTCACGGACCCAAAGGAAACTTTTTTAGGAAAAGCAACAATAGGAAGCAGGTGTCCATGTAGGTGAGGTGCGGCAGCGGGTCAGTATTAGTCAAGTTACAGTGTTGGTAATCTGGCAAGACGATGATGTTAAAGAAAATTCATAGTTCAAGCGTATCGAAAATATTCCAAAAACTGTAAAGCGGCAACACATGATCTTTACACCTAGTTACAAGAAAACTAAGAGTACTTAAGTAGCATTGAATAAAGTAATGTGGAAACGGAATGCACAGGCTCCTCTAGGAAACAAACGCACTTTCTACTGCGTTATCAGAAAGGTTTTATAATACAAGGAGACATATTGCTCATGAAGAAGGGATTCTACAAGAAAAGCACTCACTAAGTTAAGCATCTATGGGAATGGCCAGTCAAAAATGAATTAAATGTCCGACTGTGGAGGTGGGCTGGCAGGTGGGAGAGAAAAGAAAAGCCGGGGAAAGGTCACTTATTAACACCGGCCTTTTGTGTCTCATCTAGTGTACTGGACAGAAATTAACCTTGGGAAAGATTTTGACCCATGACATTTTTATTCAGTTTCACAATTCTGTGTGCAATGTAGTGTCAATCAATCGCCACTTCTAATCTTGTCAAAATACTGTCTTTGATCACATCACGTGTTCCCCCCCTCCACCAAGCAGAATACTTCACAAAGGAAATGAGTAGACAAGGTCTCTGTTCAAAATCTCAGGAAAAGCTAATGAATGGTTTTTAAAAAAATCACACTACAAAAAAAAAAAAAAAAAAATCAAAACAATTGATCCAAAGGGTTGAGTGTTAAGACTGACTCCATTCGGATATACAGTACAAGGTTACATCGTGAATGTCAGCTGATCAATTATGGGGTGAGTTAGATGGCAACGGTTCATTAAGGAGGCTGTGTGTACTGCTTTACGACAGGTCTGAGAACCAGTTAGGAAGTGGCTGCATTTCCCGACATCAGAAGCTACAGTTCTTTAAAGACAAAGGTCTTCCAAACAGTTTAGTGCTTAGTGTTCATAGCACAACAATGCAACTTAATTCACAGGGTATTTTGGCAACTCTTAATCTGAGGAAGAATTGGGGCTTTGGAAAAATAAGGCTTTAATATTAAAGGCTTGTTTTCTAGCTAAATTTTATCGAATGTGAAAGTTCAGACTCTTACATTCAACCAAACCTTGAAATGACTGATTGGTTCAAAGTGGTTTTATGGAAAAACTACTCTGTAACAAAAACTTGGCATTGAGTGCAAAGGCTCCACCGTTTTTGAGCAAAGCGTACAAAGGGTCCGGGGCGTGGATGGGTGGGGAAGGACGAGGGGTTCTGCTATTTTATAACAGCAGGCATTTTCTCTTCCTCTTCTTGACAGGGGGTGGGCAGAGGACGGCTCTGATGGCTTCATCAAACACTGTCTTGAGGCCTCGCTGCGTGAGTGCCGAGCACTCCAGGTATTTGACAGCACCTGCCAAGAGAGAGAAGTGACAGGACACACTCCGAGCACCTCTACCTACCTCGCCACCCCCGCACACCCACCCTAGGGTCCAGGAGAAGAAATACACCCGCTCTATGCCACTGAAACCACAGAGCAGGTGTGCGAACAGCAGGGATTTCCATACCAATCTCCTTGGCCATCGCTAAGCCCTGGGGGTATGTGATGGGAGTCAGCTTCTTCTCCTTCAGTTTCTCAATTGTGTCTTTATCATCCCTCAGATCCAGCTTGGTTCCCACGAGGATGATGGGAGTGTTGGGACAATGGTGTCGCACCTCAGGGTACCACTAGAGGGAGAAAGGCACCAAGGTTGGACTGGCCTCCTTCCACCGCATCTACAGGGAAGCCACCAGACACTACACTGTCACCACCCTCACTGCCACTGCCTTCCTGAAGGGGAGTCTCCCAGCAGCTACCTTCCAGACCAACCTTAGAGAACTGCAAGGAATACCCGTGGGTGTTTGGTTAGCAAGTTGATGAACCACTTACAAAAACAGGCTCTACTTGTCAGGTAATAATGGAGAGGAATAATTAGAGAAGGGCAAGAGGAAGGAAGGAAAGTGCCCCCCCAAACACACACAAAAGGAAAGCACCTTGTTTTGATAAAATAAGCCAAGTTCTTAAGGTCTTCTCAGAAACTTTATAACTCAGGGATGGTAAGACACTAAACCCCTGCCTCACCCCTGACTAATACACAGAAGGGCAGCCCACTGAAAAGTAACGGTCATTATTTTTATTAGACCAGCCCCAAAGTATGTCATCATTTTAACAAGAACACCACTTCCGAATCACAACCCTGTTTTCTCTATCCACCTCTGAAACGTTAATCCACTAAAAATTTCTAGCAGTAAATGGCATTTTTCTTTTTGAAAGTTTCTTCCCATTATATAAAAATGTATTGAAAAACTAAATTTCCACATACCTTTGCCCGGACATTTTCAAATGATGCAGGACTCACCAGGGAAAAGCAAATTAAGAACACGTCCTGTAAGAAGGAAACAAGGAGCTTAGCGTCGGAAAGCAGAGCGGGCTCTTGCTGTTGAGTGCTGTTGTTGGGAAGCAGTTGAGACAGTGTGGCAGCCTGGATGCAGTGCCCGTGCACTCCATGTGCCTTCGGGCCTGCCCCCAGCTCCCAAACCTGAGCCAGCGATTTATAGAGCCCTGGGGAGGCCTCTTCTGCCTCTGCTCCCCACCGTGGGGTCCCGCTCCCCACTGGACAGCTCATTCTTTGCTGCAAATAGGCCCATCCTTCCAATAGGTCTGCTGGAGACCAGTAGGCCAGTCTCTAAGGCAGAGTCCATTTGAAAGACACCATCGACAAAGGGCATCCTTTTCTCAAGGCTCCACTTGCCTTCCTCAGATGTCACTGTGCTCCAATGACACTGTTGTTTTGGGGGCAGTTCACCACCATCTTGCCAGTAAGTGGGGGCTCAAATCCTTGCCCCCATGTGATGAAGGCTCATGGTGGTTCATTTACAACCACTCTCAGGATTCCACGCCTCTGAACCAGCACCCTGCAGATACCCGCCCCGAGGAGATTTTCAGAGCGCTGAGATGAACCATAAAACATTGGAGGGTTTCTTCCCATTCTATCTTGTGTATGAAGTCACTTTTAATATTGACTTGTGTTAAAAACTGCCCAAGAGTTCCTAAAAGCAACATTTGTGAGACATTTTTCCTGGAAAGGAGCAATGATGCCGATTTGTGCCATGCACACCATTCCCACGCTAGCATCCAACTGTGACCTCGCACCTGAAAGGGAAAGAACACCCCACAAAATGGCTTTTCATAAACAACATTTGTAAATGCTGGCGCATGCACAAGCTTGTCCAAGAATCACCAGGGCACCCCGGTATCAGCATCAGAGTTGATTGCAAAACCATTTCTAAGCACGGTTGGGTTAGCTCACCAGCCTGGCACAGCCATGCCCGCGACAGGCCACATCACCACACCCAGGACATGGCAGCAAGAGAGGAGACCCTGAGCAGAGAGGTTAATCCTGCACCAGCCCCACCCTGCCCCCCACAGTCCACTGAGGCCAGGAGTGAGGCCATCTTAGAAGTCCTCCCTTGGCACGGGAGCAGGGCTTCGAGCTGGTTCTTCCTGGTTCATTCAGGGCTGACAAAACAAAATGGGAATGGACCCAAATTTGTAAAATGGCAGAACCCACAGAAAACAAAGAACTGCATGATAACTGTAACAGAAAAAAATGATGGTCAGAGCCCTGCTGGAAACTTCATCTCCCTCATCGAAAACAAGACCAATGTGTGTTGCATAGCAACAAAGTCCCTTGATGAGTAGAATCAGATACAGTGATACCCAGCTCAAAGATAGTAATGGACCACACCACTCTGCACAGTCCTGGCACAAATCCAGCCTCTTGCATCAGGCTCCTAAAAGGGCTTTGACCCATCAGTTTTCCTGTTATGATTTTACAAACTTGGATCTGTTGCAGCTGTGTTGTGTCAGCCATGACTGAACCGGTTCAAACTTGTTGGAAGCCCTGCTTGGGAGGAGGGAAGAGGCAGTTCACTAAGAAGTTTACTTCAAATCAGCTGGCAAACCCAGCATGCTCTAGTGAAAGGCGAGCCTGTTTCACCGAGCACAGCCCCAACCTTGAGAGAATTCAAAGTAAAACACTCAAGGAACTGGGGTGCAGCAAGATGCCCTAGGAAAACTAAGGGAAACAAGAGACAGAGAGAGCTGGAAACTGAGGTCCACAGAAGGTTTTACATACGGCAATCGGCTTGTCTTTGCCCCTGGTGGTGCTATCCTTACCATACGTGTCTCCAACCTAGTAATGCACGAGAACTTGGTTTGAGTTTAGTAAAAACGACGAGAAAAACAATATATATAGCCTGTTATTCCTTATCAGAATTTTGTCTCAACCCGCCCAAGGGCTCTAACGGCAGCTCAGGATCTAATGCATAATAAATGCCACCAGATGGATGATTTGTGGGGCGAGACAAACCCCGCAAGTCCCGTGGAGATCAAGGTACCTCTTCCGCCTGTGGCAGCAAATAAGCAGTTTCTTTTCCACCTGGAAAAGAGCCCTTGGCTTGTGTGGTCACAAACTGAAGGCAGGGTGCCAGCTCCAGGCACCACGCACCTTCAGGCACTGTTCCTGGTACCCACTAGAATAGCCTGGACCTTGAAAGCTCTCCACCAAGTGAAGCAGACACTTCCAGACACTGCTCTGCTCGAGCATGCCACCTTTCCCAAGCTCACCACAATGCTTCCAACCCATTCCTTTGTTCTCATCAGAACCAACCATTCCTAGGGGAGGCCACATACACCCACCCACCTCAACCCGCCTGTCCCATAGGGTTTCGGTGGCTGTAACTCTCTATGGAAGCGGACTGCCTCATTTTCCTCCCTCAGAGCAGCTGGTGGGTTCTAACAGCCAACCATTCATTTAGCAGACAAGTATTAGCAGGGCTCCTCCAAAACAATGCAGAATCCTGAAATCTTTGAAGAGAAAGAATTCACTACACCCATGCCAGCTTCTGTGATTTCTGTCTGAATGTCACGTTTCCACAGGCACCTAGGTTGAATCTCTAGGTAGTTTTTGTAGATTTGTCCTCCGCCCAAGGACCTGAAATGAGGCCCGATGGGTACTATGATACAGCGGAACATCTGGGGGTCCAGCCACAGAAAGGCCACCTCTAATGCAACTCCGTGGTTCTTGCCTTTCCCATTTTTTTGACAAGGAGACCCAAATACAGCAGGAACCGTCTGTCCCTGTGCCATCCCATGCCAGCATCATACCATCTGCCCTACTTGGGGGCCTGTCCCTTTTCGCTCCTTTCTCTCCTGAAAGCCTAAGCATGGCGCTCAGGAGGAGGTACCTCTAGTGCTTCTGTTTTCTAGCAGCCATGTGTTTGCCACCTCACACTCACCTGGGCTGGTCTGCACCTGTTTTGAGCTCCCTGTGAGCACCATTTGTGCATCTCCTGGGAGAAGCGGGGGTGGGTGCCTGCTTCCCTACCTCCACCTGTGCAGTAGAGTCCCCTACTTCACCTGAGATGTCTCCCACCACAGGCCTATCTTGCCTTTGGACTTGAACTCTACTTTCCTTTGACGTGCAGGGACCACAGCAGGCTCCAACTGGGCCTACTATGAACAGTCCGTCAGTTCTTCAACTTCCAGGGACTCCCACGCCACAAACCAGTTTATTTCTCACTGCTCAAATGACAGCAGGCCAGCGAGCGGCTTTCACAGCTGCCTTCTCTACCTGTCCCAGGTAAGAATGAGGCTGGGCAAAGGTATGGATGGCTAAATGAGTTATCTACCATCAAACAGTATCACTTAACACACCAACGAAACAGCGTCACTTATTTCCTTCACTTCATTCTCTGTTTGCCTCCAGGTTTTGACTTTCATTTCATGCTAGAGATTGTTTTCTATAGTGGCATATAGGAGAAAGGACCAGGGTGTCTAAGCACACAGAAAAATGGCAGAGCTAAAAGCCTCCCCACACTGAGGAAAGGGGGAAATGCATGCCCTGCAAGCAAAGCCTCAGGGTTTCAATATGCCATGTTTTCTACACATAACATGCTCACGAAAATACCACACCCCTGAAACATGCATAACGTACACATGAAACACACAGGATGGACTGTAATGCATATGCTATATACATAAATATAAGGTTTCCCAGAACACCACAAAAGGCCACTCTGTCACCATGATGACTTGAAGTCAAAAATAAATGAATAGTGAAAGACCAAACCCATGGCAAAGTACAGAGAAGAACAAGGTTACTATCCAAACTACAAGCACCCTGGCAGCACCTTTTCCTGCTGGCAGAAGGGGCCGTGTCTCCTGTTCACCCACCCACCTTCAGGTTATTCAGATGCCTCCTAAATCACCCTACACGAGCACCCAAAGACACGACTCCCTATAAGAACCGCCCTTTGCTTAATTGCAGGTGGGCGCTGGCTGGGGGAACTGACACTTTCAGTACACCACTGCATGCAGGGCTTTCCCCTAATGCCACAGCACACATGGAAAAGGCATGCAGGGGTATGACACAAGGGTGGGGTGGGGTGGGGTGGGATGGAGGTCATCCTGGCTGCTCAAGACAAAGGCCCAGAGAGGATTGAGTGAATGGCCTGGGCCACGAGGGTCTCGCACTACACACTCACAGAGATCACACCTGTGTGCTCACACCACTAACTCTTAGAACCAGAAGGCAAGTACAGAGGACAGACACAGACTAGGACATAGGAGGTGAGCACTACATGGACCGAGTGAAGATCAGAGTATAGACAGTATCCATTCGTCATTGTTGTGGCGGTGACATTCAGCACTCTCTCTCACAATCAGACAGCTACGGCGTTTCCGAGCTGTGCACTGCTCACAGCAACTCCGGGTCCCCCAACAAAACTCTCTGCTTTTTCCCTCCCACTCCTGGAAGCCCTTCACCATCTTGTTTACATATTGTTACTGGTTTCCAGTCAGTGTGATCAGTGGGTAGTTGTCTTTTCCCCACTTGCTACGACAGTAGAACTCAAATATCTTCCAGCACCCCCTACATGGCCTCATGGAAAAATTCCATGATCTTTCAATTCCATTTTCCCACAAACTTAAAAAAAAAGTTTTTATTATGAATTGAGTGCAAGTTTACAGAGCCAATCATCAGTTCCCCATGTAACAAAGGATACACATTTCAATGATTGCAGCCCCTTTCCTGTACCATCACTTAGTCCACTTCTTCCCTGTGGTTCCCATTTCCTTCTTTTATGATGCTTCTGAATTTTGTCCTTGGTTAAATCCTATTACCCCTTTGAGCTCAAATGGCTGACCACTCGATACCTCACTAGTGTTGTTGTCCGGCCCCTGCAACTCTTGTACTTCTTGTCTTCTTCACCTCCTCCCTTCCTCCCTTTTATTGTATATTGCCTTCTCCTTTACTCAAGTTAACCCATGTCTACCCTCTAGCCAGTTAATCAGTCCTCTGTCACTCCTAACACTGGCAACCATCAAAGAATGTTTCCGTTCCGCACACTTTTTGAAGCTCCTTCATGTTAATTACACAGTAACCATCTTACTCTTCTGTGAGCTACCTGAAGACAAGATGATTGTGTTCATTCCCTTTTTGCTACACAAGGATTTTAGAGGAAACTGGTCCAGTGCCTCTCACAGAGGTGCTATGACAAATTCCCCTCCTGGTCTGTCCTGTGAGGAGACCACCCATGTTCCTAGCAGGCCTTCCACACAATGACTCCCTTCAATCCCAGGGAGTCTCCACACGTTACTTATCTACATGTTCTTTAGCACAGTGTGGAGATCTTGCCAGCTCCCCTTTGACTGTGAGTAATCCCTCAGAGAAAAGGCCGCACCCCAGCCTGCACTCCGTGAGTCACTGGAGGGCGAGTCTCACTGCTCAGAAGCCACACCACACCCACCCTTCAGACCTAGCGAGGTGACTGGATTTGCCTTCACAAACAACTTGGGACATTTTTGCAAATTACTCCAAGAAGAAACCAGGTGATAATGCTTGCTCCTCTAGCTGTTAAATGTGGGTCCTAAAACCCCAAAGAACTTAAAAAATCTCTTCAGTGGCATCCAGTGATTGTATTAAAGGCTTTCTAGAATAAATCCTTAATACCTGCCCACCACTGCAGCTAAAGCAAAATCCAGGCAAAATCCCATACAAGAAATCCTCCTGTTGATGCTTGAGGTTCACTGGAGCGCTTTAGACAAAACCTTATGCAATAGTGTTCAGGTCCCTCAAGCAGGAAGGTGGGATTTGGGAGTATGTGACTCTCTCTTTGATCGGATCTTTTTTGATGAGTTGAAGAAAGCAGGCAGAGAAAGATCTTCAAGGCCTGCACTTCCGGAAAGGACAGAGTCACCTTACCAGCGGCAGCTTCGGTAAGTCAACCTCAAAAGCGAACTCCCTGCCACTGAATTCCAACTCACAGTGAACCCTAAAGACAGAGTAGAACTGCCCTATAGCGTTTCCAAGGCTGAGTCTTTATGGAAGCAGATTATCACAGCCTTCTCCCAAAGCTGCTGGGTTTGAACTGCCCAGCTCTTTAACCACTGAGCCACCAGGTGCCCTAAGTAGACCCCGGGGGAAGTAACTACCCAAGAGTCTTTCCAAGAGTCACCAGCCACAGTAAGGTGTGTCACTGGACTTTCGATAAGAGGAAGAGAAAGCCATTTAGAAAGCTTCAACACATTGTTCTTAGGATTGTACTGTGTTTTGCTAAACATAGGTCCCTGGGTGGTGTAGTTTGCACTCATGGCACTGTAGAGCACTGGACTGCTAACTGCAAGATTGGTGGGTCAAACCCACCAGCCACTCCTTGGAAACCCCATACTGTGAGTGGGAATGACTAAATTGAAGGTTTGTGGAAGACCTAGCAATCTGCGTCTATTAAGATTACTGCCAAGAAAACCCTATGCAATAGTTCCACCTTGTAACACAAGGGGCTGCCATGAGTTGGAAGTGACTGGATGGCAAAGGGTTTTGGCTACAAACTTACAGCCAGCAGGCTCAGGGTTCTGCCGGGAAAAAACAAAGAAGTCTAGGAAAGGTCTGTTCAGTGCGCTTTACTCCTGATCCTCCGAGGAGATGGACAAACATTAGTGTGAAGGAAACTGTCAAAGATCACAGCTAAGAAGTGGAAAGGATATGAACCCAAGGAATTTGCTCTAAAGTCTTTCACTAATCTATTTTAACACACACTTTTAAAAAGGAAGGACAAATACGGAATAAGATGGACAAATGACATACACATAAAACAAAAACCACCTGCTCTTCTGAGGAAAAGTGGTGTCTAGCCATGACCAGTGTCGGCCAACTGCCCAGGTAACCAGCCCCGCTCCCACTAGCTGATGTAAGTACTTACTGCTTGGTTTCTACTATGGGTACAAAACGAATCTTATGTTTTTCCGAAAGAACAAGGGACTCATTTTCGCAAAACTGAAACCTCAATCTACAATGAAATGATTTAGGTACTACAGCCTAGTACCTGTATTAGGTTGTAGTATCTAAATGAATACAGGCAATCCTCCTTGACGCCAGTCCAAGGGGATTCGGAAGCGAAATACCTTTTTTTTTTTAAGTGTTCATTATTACTGCATTTTATTATCAGTCTCTTTATAAATGTGATCTTTATTTGTCTTTGGAATGGAGGTTGGAAAGTTTATCTTTGAATATATTACATATGATGTTTTATCATTGTAAGATACAAAAAAGAAAAATATGGACAGTAGCTAAGTGTAGTTCATTGTAGCTCGAATTATGTCTAAGCCGGGCTACTCGTATGAGACTAAAGTGTAACACCCATAGGATTAGTTACTAAGCGGATTTCAGTACAAACCCTAGTCTTCTCCACATAGGTTTGATTCTATGGCACAAAACCATCGTAAGACAAACAATCTTGAAACTAATTGCTGTTAAAAATTTGTTCGCAAACAATCAAAACCAAAGCAGTTATCTGCTTCATATGGTTATCCTAAGACAAAATGAGACAGTATGTAACACACAGCATCTGTGCTTGGTAGGAAAGGATACTGCTCAAAACACCAAGCCAACACCAATCTACTTTACATCTAGGGTACTATTTATACCTGAACGACTTTATCTTGATTAACTATGACTAGATCGGCCTAAACGATGGCAATGTAAGCAAACCCATAAGTGAGTGGCCTTTCAGCGTTCAAGGAGTGTAAAGTCTAAAGGACACACTGACAATTAGTTGCAATCCTTACTGTTTGCGGATAGGAGAGGGGGCGTAATCGGTCGTAATCTTCTTGTCCAGCTGTATCCCATAAGCCCAGATTCACGGGTTTTCCATCTACCATAACATTGGCAGAGTAGTTGTCAAAGCTGTCGAATAGAAGAAAACCGGTTAGTCTGCAGCCGTGGAGCACACGGAGCAGCCATGGGACAGAGGTGCTGTGCTGACAAGAACGGATAGGGGGCACGAGGAGAATCCTGAGAGCTGGGGAGCCAGAAGCTGATGGATTTTGAAAACAGATAAAGGCTGGAGAGATTTAAAGTGCAGGAGAAGCAAATGACATGCCACTAAACATTAGTAACTGAAGCAAACTTGCTGTCAGGAATAATAAGCCTTGAAGACTTTTCTCTCCAGGAAGAAACAAAGTACAAGTGGGCTTAATGGAAAACTGGAATGAAAAGATAATGGACCTTTCCCTGACTTTGAAGTCCCTCTTCCAAGTACACTTGCTCAGTTTCCACATACATGTGTGGTTCACTTTCATTTAGAGCTGGCTGTTTCCAGACACCTACTTGAGTGGAGACTGGTATTTGGCCAACTTTGTAACCAGACTGGTGGTAACATGAAACAGACCTGATTTCCGAAGCCATCCTATCAAGTGGCCAAGTGAGTGCACCAGATTAAACGAATGTTTCAATAAACTTAACGCTGCTCCACACAAATTAAGATGATGGTGACGCAGCCCAAAAAAGTCAATTGGCTGGCTGAACAAAAATAAGGCTACATTGTTAAACGGCTGTGGGAGCGTGCTCAACTACCCCGGAGAGTAGGTTATTCTAATACCAAACACTGGCACTGCCATTCAAAGCAAGTTAAGTGCCAACCTCAGAAAACAGAGCAGCCTGTACAGTACAAGCCAAGACCTTTTTATCGACTTTTAAGGCCAAAACTGTAGGATTCTGACTACACTACAAGAGCCCAGTCAAGGTCTAAGGTGCTGCTGTGGGTCGTACAGCTTTAAGACTTTAAATCATAAAAGCTTTTATCCTCAAAAGGTGTGATGGACATGGGCATTCTAATTCTGTGAGAAGACAATGGATTCTTCAAGAAATGGTTCTGTGACAATTCTTTTCCTCATCAAACAAAACACACTGCCGAGACAGTTCCCACTCACAATCACCCAGTAGTAGGACAAAACTGCCCCAGAGGGTTTCCAAGTCTAAAATTTTTACAGAAGCAGACTTGACTTTTTCCCGCAAAGCAGCTGGTGGATTTGAACTGCCGACCTTCCAGTTAATGAAGTCAGCAGCTGAGTGATTGACCATTGTGCCACCAGGGATCTTCCTGCCTCGTACTATTATCAGGGACTACAAAATGGGTAGGCAAACCTTTGGAATAAAATTAGACCTCCCTGATTATCAGAAATGCAAATAACAGTAATGAGGAAACGCTGTTTAGCCAGGTATATTCAAGGGCAGTTTCAGTCAGTCAGTGACAGTCTTTTGAGGCACAGCTGGGTAAAATCTTCCCAAGTTCAAAACATATATTATTCCCATTGATTTGGCATGAATTCACATCAAACTAGGTGCCCTACAGAAATACTGTGAATGTGAACAAACTCGTGTGTGCTGTTTATAGATACAAAAACAAAGAAAAGGAAGGAAGCCCCAATTGCCCATTGGGTAAGCTGGCCATTGTTGTTGTCAGGCAGCACTGAGTTGGTTCCAACTCATAGCAACGCTTGGTCCTGCACCATCTTCACAATTGTGGTTAAACTTGAGCTGCTGCCACTGTGCCAATCCATTACGTTGCAGATCTTCCTCTTTTTTGCTCACCCTCTACTCAATAAGCATGATGTCCTTCTCCAGGTCCTTCCTGTCCAAACTATGAGAGACATAGTCTCGCCATTTTTGCTTTCAAGGAGCATTCTAGTTGTACTTCTTCCATCACAGATATGTTTGTTCTTTTGGTAGTCCATGGTACTCTTACTATTCTTCTCCAAAACCCTAACTCAAATGCATGAATTCTTCTAGTCTTCCTTATTCACTGTCCAACTTTCAGATGCATATGAGGTTACTGAAAATACCACAGCTTGGGTCAGGCGCACATTAATCCGCAAACTGACATCTTTGCTCTTCAAAACTTTAAATAAAGACATCTTATGCAGCAGATTTGTCTAAAGCAGCCCGTCATTTAATAATGAGTGTTGATAGTGGGTCCAAGCAGAATGAAGTCTTTGGCAGCTTCGATCTTTTCTCCATTTATCACGATGTTATTATTTATTGGTCCAATGGTGAGGACTTTTGTTATTTATGTTGAGGTTCAACTCATATGAAGCTGTCACCTTTGATCTTCATCAGTATTTGAAGTCCTCTTCACTTTCAGGTTGTTAATGAGTCTTCCTCCTATCCTGATGCCACGTTCTTCTTCATATAATCCAGCTTCTCGGATTATTTGCTCAGTATACAGATCAAATAAATATGGTAAAAGAATACAACCCAAGTGCATACCTTTCCTGAGCATGACACTATACAGAAGCGTATGTGAGAGAGGGGAGTGAGTGTGAGCACAGGTGGGACATTAGGTGCTTCTCCAAGAAGTGGCCCTGCCCCCGTGGGTGGCTGGGGCATGCAGGAGCACTGGAATGGAGGGGAGCCTAAGGAGTCTTGGTGCCATATAGCCCCTGGTAACCCATCATCAGAAAACATGTTCCCATAGCCACCCAATTCTGCCGCCCTCTGGGACTAAGCCCACTCAACACAGGCAATTGCCCTTCCATGCTTTCCACCTCTAGTTTCAAATTCAAAAGCCCGTAACTCAAAAGTGACATGCACATTTTCCAGGAAAAGCCCAATTAAGGCATCCCCATTATGAGCAGAGCCCAGAGGCCTAAAACTCACCTGAAACGTTCACATTTATACTGGATAATGTCTATGTGTAAGAATTAGTTTGCTGACTTCTTTTGTTCACTCAAATGACGAAGCATCAATTAGGAAAGCGGTGCTTTGCAGAAACTTTAGACTGTCTCAAGTTAAAACATCTTTTATTCCCCTGAAGACCCCAAATACTTTTTAATTGTTGTTGTTGTTAAGTGCCGTTGAAGCAATTCCAACTCACAGTGACCCTGTATAGGGTTTCCAAGCAGCAGCTGGTGGGTCTGAACCACCGACTTTGCAGTTAGCAGTCCAGTGCTTACCCAACAATGCCACACTAAGACTTTTCTTCCTCACAAACATTTGCTGAAGTTCAGTTATAAAATAACTATAATTACTGTTATTTGCCTTCAGCAAATGTTTGGAAAAGTAATCTTATCTGTTGGCTTTCTAGCAAAACATGTTCAAAGGTGTCCTAGTTCATTCCCAATTTAACCAAGGATACTTACACAGTGGGGATGTATTCTCCAGGAAATGCATTGGTTGTATAACTGATCAATAGGCAAGTTTTACCTACAGCTCTGGAGAGGGAGAAAAAAACAAGGTGTTAAGTTGCATAGTCAACATACCCGTTGAACTCCTACCATATGAAAATCCTAGCTTTCATTAATCTGTTATAGTAATTGTTAGAAAAATCAAGTACCATACACTAATACTAAACATTAAAGAAAACAGTTTCCATAACCTTTTATGTAACAATACACCTAGTTTTATCGTAAACTAACTCAATGTCTCACAAAGGTAGACCCAGGAACCTTTTCGTTACGTGTAACTACATAATTTTAGCTCCAAGAGTCAAGAAATATGTGTTAAATTTATCTGACCAATTCAAGAGGAAAATTATTTTCCAAATCTTTTTGTAAAGAGCTTTATCCAAGAATCTTGAAGTCAAATCTTCAAATTATTTTGTGAATAATAATAATATGCAAACATAGCTTCCCCTTGCTTACATTAAGGTATACTTTGTGACTTTTATTAAGTAACTTACTTTGTTACCTTTAAGTGGCACACCTAAAATCCCAGCACCTTCCTGAATTTTAGCCTTCCTTCTGATGAGCAGTAATGGTGTCCTCTTAAGAGAGTTTAGTCAATACACCACACACAGAACTGTTCTCATAGTAATTCGCCTGCTTCCATGTGCCTCTCCTTCATCCTGCTCCTCACAGATTGAAAGCAAGGCTATCATACAACATGCAGGCAAGTCCTGGTAATGCACGGTGTTCCAGGCATAGTAATTCATAGTTCAGGGTAAATTCCATAAACTCCCAAGCACAGCTGCCAAGCAGAAAGTAGACAAGAACCATGTGGAGATTCTCCAGAGGTGGACCTCCACCCACAGAGCTGAGGATGGACACACATGTCTAGTACTAGCATGCTGCAGGTAGAGCTCTGAAGGGTGGTTACACGTTTCCAAGCCACTTGAAATTGTTTTCAGCTAAAAGACGCAAGATCCCTGAACCATTAACAAAGAAAAGTCTCCAACTTGTAAAAGAATCACCAGCAACTGCAGGGGCGCCCGAGGGACCAAGTCCCTGGCATCCTAAGAAATTACCAAATGGTCTCCTCCTTACATGATCCTGCTTAATATCCTCTGTTGGTTTATCGAGGCCATGGTTACATACTGTTATTCTGATTTACAAGACTTTGTTCCTTCAATCTCAACTACTCTAAATTACCATGTTTTATGCAAATAATATAAGCATTATATGATGTTTTTCCAAACCATGCAAATCCACTGCACAATATTTACATGGGTGCACTATATGTGAATAATATGGTTATATATCCACTATTTCCCTGATACTCTTAGCTTAAGACAAGAGAACCTCTCAACAAAAGACTACAGGCCCATCCAGTCTTGACAAGACTTGTTTTACTTGTAACTATTAAGGGCTTAACAAAAGTTGGAACTTCCTACTCTAAAGACCTCAGAGTCAAACATTACATCATTAGTTACGAGGTAACTTCCAACTCCAAAAGGCTTTTCTGGACAGGAATGACTCACTGAACATACATTTTGTTAAAAAGGCTTATGAGATGTCAAATAAACCTGTGTGTGCAAGAGCCTACGTTTTGGAGTCATGACCCTGGATGTGAGACCCATGGACAACTCCGTCACTTAATGGCTGTACAGTTACTGGCCAGTTTCAACTACCTTGTCAACTCCATCACAAAACTATTGTGAACATTCATTCAATTTCAGTTTATGCCAGCAAATCGTGTGCACAACAGGAAGTGTATGAGTTACTGAAGATACACTGCAAGGAACACGACTGCGTGGGTTCATTCAGTTATTAAAATAAAAACAAGACAGGTCATTATGCAGTCATTATATACATGATAAGGGTGGGTAAGTGTTATTAAAGATACTCTGGAAATGTTAAGCAAGAGGCTCTAACTTAGTCCCAGAGTGGTTAGGAGACCACAGTGTAGTTGAGGATAGGAGAAGTGGGGGTGGAATGGGGAAGAACATTCTAGACAAAAGCAGCAGCATATGGGGAGGCCCAGACTGGAGAGATTGCCACCCCTGAAGCGTAAATGACAAAGAGAAATAGGGGGAGACTGGCTGGGCTAAGATGATTAGCATTTTTAGATAAAGCTGGGACAGCATGGTGGTAAGAGGATTTGAGAGCTGGAATTGAAGACAGGAAAACAAGGAAGCAGCTCCCACTTCCCAGGAGTCTGAAAGGACAAGGGGACTGGGGGCAGAACAGGTTATTTCAAGAGCACTTAGACATGAGGTAAAGCCAGGTGGCTTGGTCAGGGCTTGAATGTGTTACCTGAGGAAGGGGTAATCTTTTAAGTGAATACTCTTACAAAATTACATATGTCATTGTGTAAAAATGTCCTCTAGTGTAGACCTCCACTGTCATAATGCCATCATATAGTATAGGCAGTCAGTCGTGGTACCCTAACCTGCTCTATCAGCTCGTCCAAAGATCACCTGCCAGCCCACTGCCACTGCCCTTCTGCCACCTGGCACTGGCTGCACCCATCCTCTCCTTCCTGTTCTGGCTCAACAGCCTGAAACCTGCGTCATGATCAGGCTCACTTAAGACCTTGGTCCTGCACGGAAGGGACTGACTTCACCTGTCCACCTAGTCAGATCTATTTGACCATTTCTTTAGCAGATTAAAAACTTGTAAGTTTGTTTGATAGCCCTTCATGCTAAGACTAAGTAGCAATCAAGTTTTTGACAGTTAAAGTACACTCATCTCAGAGTGCTTCCTCTAAGATCCAGTTGGGAGTCTCTTCTGTATAAATGAGGAACAGTCATTACTATATGATCAATTAGCTGTTGCGGTGTTGGTTCTGACTCATGGTTCTTAGGTGTTCTAAAATTTCTCTTCCTGAAACTAAGTCATCTTCTTTGGACATGTTGAATTGTGAAGGACTTCAATGAGAAGGGTTTAACTAAAGAATAATCTGATAGTAAAGGAAATGTTACTACCAATCATTATTTGCTTTTAAATCAATCAGTAAGAGTAAACAAGATTTGCTACCGATCTCCATTCTGTATCAGGAAAATGACGAAACAGTACAATTTTGACTTTTAAAAATAAGCACTCGCCCTACCTTTGATTAAATATTTACTTTTTAAAATATATAAAATGGACACCAAAACAGAAAGAGAAAATGATTATTCACATCCCATTGATTTATTTACTCACTCCTTTTCAACACACTGTGCAAATAAGCTCAGAGGCCAAAGTCAGCATCAGCACCAGGCACAGTTAACAGCCGTCCCCAAGTAAAGGATGGACACTGAATTTGTTCACAGCCGGAACTAATGTTGCCCAGCAGTTTTTGGCAGTTACTGTTTGCTTGGGCATTTCAAATTTTATATATTTTGCTACTCAGTTCAACTGCTTTTAATCTTTGAAAGATGTCCGAACCCTAGAGAAAAAGCAGTCTACTGAAGGATGCTCATGGGGTTCAACTGGGATTTCCCCCTTGCTCAGGATGGCACACTGAAAACTTTTTTTTAAAAAACAAAAAAATTCCACTGTGTTTCTATCTAGCCTATCCTGTAGAAATAAACAATATTCAAACCAGTAACTCAATTTCTGTTTTGGTTTTCGTTTTTCCATTTAAGGAACTTTAAAGAAAACTTTAAAACGAAAAACAAATTTCAGTGTTACTTCATGAAAATGCAAAAAAGCACATCTAATCAATAAATCTGAAAACACTGGCAATTTCTCACATTAAAGTAAAAGATACAGGATTCTCAAAAACAAGAACTTCCTGGGGTTTTTTCCCCCCCTTATAAATGGGTCTTAGGAAAGGAACACCAGGAACTCCAATGACAATTGTAAACTAAAATACGAAGCCAGTGTTGTTATCTAGGAGTTCTGGTGTTTACACAGTGGTTAAGCACTTGGCTGCTAACTCAGAGGTAGCAGTTCAAATCCACCAGCCTCTCCCTGTGAGAAAGATATGACAGTAGGCTTCAGTATACAGATTGTTATGTGACGTGGAGTCAGTTCCAACTCATAGCGACCCTGTACAGGGTTTCCGAGGTTGTAAATCTTTACGGGAGCAGAAGGCCTCATCTTTCTCCCATGGAACAGCTGGTAGTTTCAAACTGCTGACCTTGTGGTTTGCAGCCCGATTTATAACCACTACGCTATCAGAGCTCCTTCAGTATACAGATTACAGCCTAGGAAACCCTGTTCTACTCTGTCCTTTATGCTGCTGCTGCTGACTCATAGTGACCCTGTATAGGGTTTCTGAGGCTGTAAATCTTTACGGAGTAGAAAGCCTCATCTTTCTCCCTTGGAGCAGCTGACCTTGGGACTAACAGCCCACCATGTAACCTACAGTGCAACTCAGTCCTATAGCGGATGGCAACAGGTTTGGTTTTTATTTGGTATTGCTATCTAGGAGTCCGTTAAGCACTTGACTACTAATCAAATGCTGGAAGTTCAAATTTACCCAGGAGCACACCTTGGAAGACAGGTCTGGCAACCACCTGCTTCCCGAGGTCAGAGCTTGAAAAGCCCTATGAAGCACTTCTACTCTGCACATGTGGGGTTGCCTTGAGTTGGGACGGACTCAACAAAAACCGACAATTACTATGCGGAAGTACCTAGACCTTGGGGACACATTGGTAGAATTCAATAGAATGTAAATTGCAAGTATCAAATACATACTCATACTTGGTGCAAAGTCAGTGTGAACTGCAAGGCTGGTGGTTCAAGCTCACCAGTCGCTCCTTGGAAACCCTCTAGAGGGTCGCTATGGGTTGGAACCAACTCGATGGCATTTAGCAACAACAACTTAGTGAATAAATGAACCTCAAAATGCTTAATGTACGCTGAGAAACAGGGCATGGAGATTCTGTATGCAGGAGACTATCAATAAATGCATGACTGCAGAGTTTGTTGTTAAGCAGAGTTTGTTTCAACTCATAGGGACCCTGTATAGGATTCCCGAAGGCTTTTAAATCTTTTGTGAGAGCATACAGCTTCATCTTTCTCCCAAAGAGCGACCAGTGGTTCAATTCTCTGGTCTTGTGGTT